AAATACAACAATACAATTAATATTTATGCAGCAACTCACCACAAAAACAAATTATGTTTGTATAGCGCCTCACATTGGGAGGACATCTCAAAGTGGTTGACACTGCTTGCTGGGCACCCAAGCTGGTAATAGGAGCCAAGGGGTGGTGGGGGGGTGGGGGTGGGGGAGGGGTAGTTGGTGACTAATAGCATAGTTAAAGAATTGATATAGGACTTGATCAAGGGCCATCTCAAGATCAAGATTGATTTTGATGAAGAAGGCTCTTCAGTCATTTGATCTTATCCCATCAGAATATACATCCTACCATCTGCCCATCACAGCATCAAGCTGTTTTTTCTAAGTTGAACCCAGTGTCCTGGCCTCAACCACACTTCCTGGTAACCTGTTCCAGTCATTATTTGTCCTCCAGATAAAGAAAAACTTTCTGGTGTCTGTCCTGAGTTTGCACTTTGCAATTCAAATACTTGTCCTCTCGTTCAATTGAAAGCAATAATGAGACCAACTTTAAGAATGTATAATGTAGATGAACTAGAAGAGGGCTTTGAAACGTAATACATTTCATCCTATTACACTCCAACCAACCACCAAACTGTACACATACTGCATCATTATATTCTCATCTCATTTCCAACTAGTTTAACTGGTTTAGTTGGTGCAACCATAACTAGGCCAGTTACAACACAAGATTTTTTCTTAAACTATGGCCCTAAGTAGAATTGGCCTGTCACTGTTTTACCATGAGCTTTGTGCTGACAATGCTATTCCAGGAACATGTGCTTACATGATTCCACATCACTCGCGACCACATCACTCCCATCCTCGCTCGCCTCCACTGGCTTCCCATCCCCCAGAGGATCGAATTCAAGATCCTCATCCTCACCTACAAGGTCATTCATGGCCTTGCTCCCTCCTACTCCGCGACCTACTATCCCCCTACCTACCTGCCTGTACCCTCCATTCCTCTGGCTCTGGTCTGCTCCACATCCCCTGCCCCAACCGCCCTACCATCGGTGGCCGGGCCTTCAGCCTCTCAGCCCCTAGGCTCTGGAACTCTATCCCCCAGTGCCTTCGCCTTGCCTCCTCCCTTTCCTCCTTCAAGGCCGGTCTCAAGACCTTTCTCTTTGACTGTGCCTTCAGCTCCCCTCTCGACTCTCTACCCCCTCCTTGCTCCCTCCCTTCCCTCCCCTCACCCTGACCATTTCCCCCCTGCTCGGGTCCTGACCCAACTGTCCAGCGCTTTGGGATGTCCTCCCGACGTGAAAGGCACTCTATAAATGGAATCTTGTTGTTGTTGTTGTAGCTGACTATTTGATCAAAGACCATCTGTCCACTATTAGTCTGAAGCAGTTCCTCACCACAATTCAATAATTAACATTTAATGGGAGTGAAACTCTGATCACCAATAAATGTACTAATCCTGGCAGTAAGCTCAGAATGGAGAGTGCCAATGATAAGCTTACAATGGCAAGTTCTTTAAACTTACCAACCAACAGAGAATCAGGCATGTTCACTCTCTCTGATCAATACAGTTATCAACAGATGGAGAATTCACCCATTACCCACCCCCCACCACACTTCTATTGCGTTAATATGAAGTCTAATAATATTCTTGTGCTGCATACAGTCACAAATCTCACTCCCACCCCCCTCTGCTTTCCATCCCTCCTGACCCCAACTCCCAGCTTGGGTCCAAAAACCCCTGACTGCAGCGCCCTGCGATGTCTTTCTGACTTGAAGAGTGCTATACAAGTGTAATTTGTAGTTGTTCCTTGCAGTCAAGTAAAGTTGAGAAACAAATCAGAAATAGCATCCTGATAAATTACTGTTGGTTTGTTTTCAAACTTCTGCCTGATAAACCTACACAAAACCACAGATAGATATCAGTTCAAACGGTGGGTGAAAATTGTAGCCTTTTATGAGAAAGAACTTGTATGAAGCACTTAAAATTTCACCTCAACATGTGATTCAAGATCCTCGAATTCAAGATCCTCATCCTCACCTACAAGGCCATTCACGGCCTTGCTCCCTCCTACCTCTCCAACCTACTATTCCCCTATCTATACCCTCCGTTCCTCTGGCTCCGATCTGCTCCACATTCCCCCGTCCCAACCGCCCTACCATCGCTGGCCGGGCCTTCAGCCTCTCAGCCCCGAGGTTCTGAAACTCTATCCCCCAGTGCCTTCGCCTTGCCTCCTCCCTTTCCTCCTTCAAGGCCGGTCTCAAGACCTTTCTCTTTGACCGTGCCTTCAACTCCCCTCTCAACTCTCTACCCCCTCCTCACCCACTCCCTTCCCTCCCCTCACCCTGACCATTTCCCCCCTGCTCGGGTCCTGACCCAACTGTCCAGCACTTTGGGACGTCCTCCCGACGTGAAAGGTGCTCTATAAATGGAATCTTGTTGTTGTTGTTGTTGATTGTTCTTAAGAATAAGACAGCCAGGACTAAGCAGGTATGTTTCTGAACCGTAGGGATTCGAAAACCTCTCTTGAAATCCATCAAAATCAATAATGTTATTAGCCCATAATGTAAAACTCTTTCAGTGTCTGTGAAACAGAAACAATATTCAGATGTACCCCAAAGGGAGAGGCAGATTGTGACTGAAACAATAATAGAATTACCAACCTTTTACATCTACATATCTGTTGCTGGTATATAATACTGCAAGGTTTGTCTCTCCTTAACCTGAAAGGGGGATTGAGCAGATGTGGCAATTCATTTTCCTGTGTGAGGTCAGGTAACTTAAATACTTGCATGAGGTGCATGAGTTTTGTATAAAAAACAAATGGTATCAAAGGCAACAGGTGCAGCTAAACAAGCAAACCCAAAACTAAGCAAAACCTAAAGGCAAAATACAAGAGTGACAAACCAGAGGGTCAGCAGTGAGAGAGGCCTCACCACCCTTTACATGAAAGAGGGTTTCATCGCCAGCTTATTATTTATAAATCATTCACAACATTGCGATTAATTTTACAGTCCTTTTGTTTTCAACTTTCTGCAAGCATATAGGTTTTCACTGACAATATTGAATGTCAAGCTTTCCTGCCCTCCTGCTGATACTCTTCACAAGATTGCAAGAGAGGTTTGGGTGAATGAGATCCTTCAGCCCATTTGATCTCATCCTTCCAGAACACCTGCCCGACCGTCTTCCCATCACAGCATCAAGCTGTTTCTTTAATAAGTACTCTGTCTTGATCTCTGGTCCCTATCTTTTTCCTAGTTACCTATTCACTGACTCAATAAATCTGCTACAGATGAAAACTGTGGTGTATCTATTCAGTATGTCAAAAGAAAGTTTTTGTTCATATACTTGGGAGTTTGTAGAAGCTGCTGGAAAATGCCAATGTTTAATAGATCCTTGTGGAAAGTCATATCAAAGCTTAATAGATCAAATGAAACATTTTTAAGCAGTAATGCAATGGTGAAGTGTGTTGCATCAGATGTTATAATTAGGAGGCCCTAAAGCACATCATCCACACACTTATAATATCATCTAGGCTGACATTCCAATACAGCTGTATTGTTGGAGGTGCTGTCCTTCGGATGTGATGTTAATACTGTGCTATCTTTTACCTGTTCAGGTGGATGTTGAAGATCCAATGGCACTATTCAAAAAGAGAACGTCTTTTTTCTCAGTGTCCTTGCCAAAAATTAAGTAAATAAAATTGGTTCATGGCTGTTTAACTCATTATTAATATTATTAACTTAAGGATTTCACGTTAGGCTCAGACGATGGCTTATCTCACACCATTTCCTTCATCTGTGAATAACTACAGACTCTTCAGACAGCGTAACAAAGTGAACATCAACATACAAGTAAAACAGCCCATATTGAGAAGGCATGGATATATGTAAATGGACAAACATGTTATTAAACAAATAATACATTTCCCAATTCTGCTTTGGTTTCCAGTAATATCCAGTAAATAGCCCGAATTGTGAAAAAAGCATCATTAATTACTTTGTAGTGCTGATTCAAAATGGACTATTATATCTTATGCTTCATATTGCCAATGTGTCTATGTGGGCTAATCAGGCTGCATTTATTTAGCTTCATAACATCTGCCTGTATGCTTATGAATTATACTTAGATTTGATACAGTGTCCACAAAATGAGCTACTTTGAAGTGTATTGATTGTTTTGTAGACATGTGTAGCAGCTAATATGGACCAGCTACATCTCAGAGAAGCATTGAGATGAATGACTAATCAAGTCTTCAGTCATTACGCTTCCAGCCTTTGGAACTCCCTGCCTCTATCTTTTCACCTACACCTCGCCCCCTCTCTACACTTCTTAAAAAACAACCATCACCTTTCAACTGTGGCTATAGGCCCCTCGCCCCCTTCCCCTTTCTCCTACTTCAGCATCCAACCCTGGAAACATTATGTACTCTGAGACATTATCTTATATAAATGGTGCTATATAAATACAAGTTGTTTTCGTTAATCTGCTTTTGGCGCTTTTGGATGAGGGAGGAATATTTGCCAGGATACCAGTTGGGTGAATTCCACCTGGGCCTAGATTTACTCTATTTATGTAATATTTCAGAGCACAAATTCCTAAATACAACCATAATTTTGAAGCCAACTTTTTTAAGTTATTTTAGGAACAGCAGAAAAGCGACTTCAAAGTTAGGTCTGAATTCAACAAATTTCGGAACACTGAGAAATGTTACACAAATATAGTAAATCTAGACCAAGGCGGTCATACTCTCGTGTAGTTTGTAACTGGAATTCTCTTTCAGAATGTTGAACTGCTAAATATGTGCTGAGTGATGTTCTTCCCCTCCCCTCCCTTCCCCGCCCCTGACCCCAGCTCAGGTCTGAAATGCTGTACTCTGTCCAGCGCCTTGGGACGTCCTCCCGACATGAAAGGCGCTACACAAATGTAATCTTGTTGTTGTTGTGTTTGACCAGAAAATAAAAAGCTCATTCTCCCATTAGTTTGCTATAGTAGATTGCTCAAAGTAGCTATCTAAATTTGTATGGAGTGAAATACATACCTTACTGCATGCATGATCTGCTCCCTGCTGCTTTGTTGTGGGCCCAGAAGTGTCATCAGGCCTCTGTTCCCATTCTTCAGCTGTTCACAAATTGACGAGAAAATAAATGTACTAGTCAAATATTGCATCAAACTGGGTTCAACTCCACAATACACAACCACTACACTTTACAGTAAATCCCGTGAAGTGCTTTGAGACGTCCTCCCAATGTAAAAGGCACGATATCAAGTGCAAGTAATATATGAATATATATATTAACAAGTTCATAAGCAAATCTTAGTTTAATAGATTTAATATTTGTTTGCATGTTCCATTATTTAGAACAATGTATTGTTATGTTATTCACAAACTGCGTAGAGCAGCAACTTCTGGTTCGTGAATACTGCATTTTCAACTTCAATATCAAGCTGTAGAAGCTTAGCCTCGAGTATTTAAATTCTGTCGCAAAACACACACTTCCCCTTCCACTAGTTATCTAACTGGCCAATAATAATAATAATAATCCTTGCATTTGATATAACGCTTTTCATGTCGGGAGGACGTCCCAAAGCGCTTCACAGAACACACTGTAAAGTGAATTGACTGTATATTTGTGGGCGAACACAGCAGCCAATTGCGCACAGCAATGTCCCACAAACAATCGTAGATTGAAAATGACCAATTTATTATTGTTTTTGGTTTTGGAGGGATTATTATTAGGCTCTGTGTGGTGTAAGGAAACTTGCCCAAGGTTTCGCCCTCTGCCTGGAATTGAACTCAGGTCTCTTACTTGCAAAGTGAGTGCTCTCACCACTGAGCTACAGGACTCCAATAGTAAGTGTGTAAGAGCAATGTCCCTTCTAACTTATCTTCCCTCACTGTTAGGATGGAGTTTCGTTTCTAGATCTATCGACCTCCAAAACTATCCCATTTAAAGCAACATTATGAAGGTTTAAGTCCGCGTTTTACCAAAAAAAATACATATTCCTTCGAAGACAAAGTCTCGCAGATTATGACTGATGATTCTATCTACTAACCAGAAAACCAAAATAAAGTAAATTATAAAGAAGTCATCTGTTTCAGGAAGAGCGAGTTGCCCTGAAACCAGTGTCAAGGCAGCACACACTCCCATAGTCTCAAATCTGGGTCTCAAAACACTAAAAGGCAATGCAGGACCAGTTTCCACTTCCTCAAAGCTTTGTTGGACATTGCTATGCACAAATTAGCTGCCTGGCACATGTGCCTACAAATACTACTGAGTCACTGCACTTAACAATAATTACTGTAAAGTGCTTTGGAACGTTTTGACCCTGTAGTCGCTATATTAAACGAAAGTATTATTGTTATTTTATTATACCACATTTAGTACTGAGCATGCAAGCTGATGAAAACAAGAAACTAGTCAAATACAGAGAATGAGAGACATACATTAAGACTAGCTATGCAGTGTTAAGCTTGTCTGCATACCATTATTACCACTGTGTGCAGAACTGAGTTCTGACTACTACCTTTATTGACTAAAAACATTCCTGTTACTGGAAAATGTAAGTGAAAAAAAGTGACATTTGAAAAAATGATTTCACATATTATCATCTGAAATTTACATTTCTTCCTCCTCACCGCAGTCTGTGTATTTATTCCTTTTTTTTCAGCTGTCACTTTCTAACCTTCTGACTCAAGACCTCTGAGTCTGAAGCCTTTTTTCCCATAACTAGCTCCCTCTGCTGGATTCATCATATATACAATACAATACCTTAAACAGGCCAACTGAGGCCCACGTTTCTCAAGCTGTTGGGTTAGGGCCATTTTTTAAAGATATTAAGGTAGAGCAGAATTTAGGAGCTGTTTTAGTTGATTTAAAATTAGAAACCATTTTCATAGTTCTTTTTAGACCATAAAGTTTTTTCCGCCTTTGGATAACGTGACCCCAAGAACATTTAAGGGATAATGTATAATGTTATTATGGATCATATTATGTCGTATTCAGGGCAGTCAATAGACCAGACAATTTTGCCCTTACCAATGATGTGCTCTCAATTAATTTAGGATTTTTAGTCATTACACTTGTTTCAAATGAAAATCACAGAAAAGTGGCCTGAATAGCTGGTTTCCCTTAATACTGAGATGCCCAGCAGGGGAGATCTGTTATATTAAAACACCAGTTGTTAATAACATTTAAAAAGCAATACCCAATATCAGACAGTCAGTAATTATAACATGAATGACTGAATTATGAGCATGTAAACACCCACATAGGAATCACAAGATTAGTTTGGGTGAACAAATGGGGAGGAAAATGAGCCAATGGGGAGATTGGAAGATCATTTATTTTACACACTAGTAGTTATGATATGGAATGCACTGCCAGAAGCAATAGTTGAGGCAGAATCAAAAGGAACTATATAAAAAATGAGTAATCTACAGTGATATGGGTTAAGGGCAGGTAAATGGGACTGAAATGATTGCTTTCAAGAGAGTCAGCACAGATCCAATTGGCCAAATGGCCTTTTTCTGTACAGTAAATTTCTATGGTTTAATGATTCTAAGAAGGCACTTTGGCCCACTTTAGCTCATCCTTCAAGAATCCCCCCCTACCCAGCTTCCCATTACAGCATCAAGCAATTTCTTAGACAAACAACAGGAAGGGTAGTTGAGTCCGGCATCCTGACATGACCCACACTTCCTGGTAATCTCTTCCAGTCATTAATTACCCTTTGGGTAAAGGAATACTTCTTGGTATCTGTTCTGAAATTTCTGTTTGCAACACTAAACTTATGTCATCTTTTCCGGCTGTAACCTCTGACCTATGTAATTAGAAAATCTCCATGCTTTACTCATGCAGAATGCCAATTCTGTGATCTAGATCAGTATGGTCAAAGAGACGGAGGGAAAAGAAAGAGGGGGGAGTGAGAGGATGGGAGAGAGAGGGGCGAGAGAAAGGAGGGGAAAGAGAGAGAGATGAGGGGAAAGAGAAAGGAGGGGCGAGAGAAACAGAGGGGAGAAAGAGTGGGGGGAGAGAGAGAGAGTGGGAGAGAGAGAAAAGGGGAGAGAGAGAGAGAGAGATCGAGAGAGAGGGAGGAGAGAGAGGAAGGGGAATTCTAGTGTTTCATATCAAATGAGATATGATTAGGTCTGATATGAAAATGTTGCCAATTCCACCCCAAAAATAGAAATGCTAAAAATCCACTGGAGGTCAAACAGAAAGAAAAAAATTGGTCAACTGTTTCAATAAAGGGTCAGATCCCGAAACGTGGTTAACTTATTGTTCTCTTTCACATGTTGTTGATTTACGATATTTCTGTTTTTCTTTCAAGAAGTTTGAATGGTGATGTACTTTTTGCATCCACATTATTCACCCTACAAATCACTTGCAGTTTTGGCAAATCAATATTTTGTTAAATTACATGTCCGAAAGATAAATAAAATTGTGTGTTTGCAGTGAGTGAGTGTGATGGATCATATTTTTGAAATTGCATTTTTGAAAAGAATTTCAGCATTACTCTGGAAAGAAACCAATTGTTCTTCACAGATGTAGCGGAGTGGGCAGAGGGGAATACCAAGCATTACCTTTCACACATCTATTGCTTTTTGAATCTCTGAATGAAATGAATGGACATTATTAGTCACCTTTTCTTGTTAAAAGTTAAATAACACTTTTCCCTCCTATGTGATTTCAGCTCTTGTGGGTTCACCAGCCCCTTAAAATTCCAGCCAACACAGAAAGCCCAAAAAACATAATTGTTTTTGCTACAAAACAATAGCTTCTGGCCCTGTAACTCTGCATTACAGGGGTTCAATTAATTTTGACAGATGTGCCGAGTGTGCACATGGCTGGGACTGTGCAGCTACTGCATGGATGCTCCACACCATCATTTATTTAATGCATTGGCTCAGATTTGTTTTGTTAATTTTGAAACTATGTAGATAATAACTGTGCTACCTTTTCCAACAGTAGGAAGTTACAGTTAACTCTCTTATCTTGGATAATAGAATTGGTCTGTTTTCTCAAAAAAAACTAAAATATTTGTTAAATAATGGAATTGTTGATAATTCTTTGCATTTTATTGTATAAATAATGCGAGCCATGGCTGATAATTGTCCTTCCTTTCTCCAGCTCAATATGAGCACAAAATACATCACAGGATCGTCAGTTAGCTTTATGCATTAACAATAATAATAATGATAATCTTTGCATTTGATATAGTGCTTTGTCACATCAGAGCACTTCATAGGATTTACTGGGAAGTGAAGCAATTGTGTATTTGTAGGCAAATGCAGCAGCAGAATTGTGCACACCAATGTCCCATAAACGCCATGAAATGAATGACCAATTTTATTTTGGGGATTGTTGATCAGGATACCAGGAGAAACTCCCTTCTTTTTTGAATAGGATCTTTAACGTCCACTTTAACATGCAGATGGGACCTCAATTTAATGTTTCATCTAAAGGATGGGTGAAGCAGATTGTGCCCCTCCTGGGAGAGACTGAGCCATCCATTCCAGACACAGAGAAATTTCCGTGTGTAGGTGGCATATGTGTAACGCTCAATCTGGTTTGGGCATTCTTGTGCACAGTGATAGTTTGCTGCAAATGTCAGACACCCGACAAACCCAAAACAATATTTTCTGTTCCTAATCGCATTGGTAAGATGTTCAGATAAGTACATATTCAGAGCTTTGGTATTGATTACAGTTTTTAGATGATAATGAATCATTTATATGATTAATTTAGAAATGAGATTGCACAAACTCAACTCATACAATACTTTTTGTTATAAATGATTAAAAAAACACAATATAAACTAGGCTTACTTATGTATAAATGTAATACTTTCATGTGATCGAATCAGCTGCCATACTTAGATTTTATATTGGAATTTAGCAATAAACATAGAATGTTTTAAATACATACATCAATACACTATATTCCAAACAACACATGTTGGTCCCTGTGTATACACCAGTCCCATTGTAATGAACAATCTTTTCTCAATCTAAAAACTCATTTTGTACTGCAGGTTCAATATTGTCATTGAGTGTCACTGTACATTTATTCTCTCTCTAAAATGCAGACCTAATGTCCTAATGGCCGCTGATGTGCAAGCTGTTCACATGTC